TCCTCACCTTTTTAACATGGTATTCTCTAAACCAGACTAAAACTCAGCAACCTACCAAGCTGTGCTTGTCAAAATTCTGTTATCTTAGGTTCAACTAACCAATTCTGCTTCCTTTCTTTCATTTTCCCTGATTATTTCATGTTGGGCATAATTCCTCCTATACCCTCCCCCCTTTTCTAAGAGGTCACATAATCCTCCGTAATAAGCGACCCAGTCACATGATCAGTCTCCACCATCTTCTGAGATCCCAGAAGGTGGATTCATCTGGTTCTTACAGATCTTGGTCCTCTCCCCACGTAGTCCAGCCAATGTCCGACTCGTAGACGATGCAGAACACTATTGCTTAATTAAAATAGGGAGGACTAGGTGAAATGCTGCTTTGAAAGATGAAGTGGGAGAGTCTGATCAGTTATGCAGTATCACCATGCTCAGGCAGACCGGAGAATCATTTTAATTAGGAGCACAACCAGAGCTATCTTTAGGAAGCAGAGAAAGGCCCAGACAGTGAAAGGCCACTGGCAGCTATGAGGGACTTTAGGGCTGAAGCAGAAGAAAGGGTTTTCAGCTAGGGACAAGATAACTCCCGGAAGCTCTTCTGCCTACAGATAATTCCTAAGCCTTGTTATCAACACTACAAAATGAGTTGCTGAAAAACATTCCCAGGCAGAGGAAATAAAGCCCCAAAGGATATAGGTTACTTTTGCGTTTTTAAGGAATAAACAGCAAGACCCAGGGGAGACTGGCAAGTATAAGGATCTGTGGTCCTTTTTAAGCAAAAGAATCAGATTGAGCTTCTGTAAATCAGTGTAATACATTCACCCCAAACGCTTCAACTCTCTTTTAAATCACCCAAGAGCCAACTGAGACGTCCATGTGATTATCTGACTTAGTCAAGATGCGTAAAGTAGGTTGGTTGGTTCCAGAATCTAGATTTTGCTCTTTTAGAGAATATGGCCATAGTCTGAACTTTGGACACTAGTTTTTAAACTAGAAAAATATATTTAAAAACTGAAAAGAGGAAGAAAACTCAAATAACAAATAAATCTGATCCATCGTTGTTTTAATTATCAAGGCCTCATTAATTTTTTATTTCTCCTCTGCCCACTAGCTTTGTCCATATTCAATTAATAGTTTAGTTTCTCCCCATATTATAGTGAGGTTTCTTGTTTTTTGGGGTTTTTTTTTTTTTTGACTGTTTGTTTTCACTTTTCAGCTTTATCTCCTGTCTCATCATTATTTTTTGGTTTTTTTTTTTTATGGTTTTAGGTGTTTCAGTATTTTGAATAGGTGTTTCTCATCACTGATACTAGAATTCAACTTATTTGTAAAACTGAGATTAGATTCAATAATCTTCACAGTTTCTCCAACATTTAAAATTCCATGACTCAATAATTTTATAAATAATCATGAGATTAGGTTTTTGAAACTTTATTTTAAAGGTTATTGGAAGAGAGGCATAGGAAGTTTTTCCTTTTTTTTTTTAGGGTGTCTTTTATAAATTCATGGCACACATGGGAATTTGAATGTTTATAATGTTTTAATATGAATTTTAACGTGAAGGCAGGGATTGTTCAGGAACTGGCCAGCCACTGCAGAGAGAGAAGGGGCTGCAATGCAGTGTGTGGCAAAGAAACCCCACTCCCTCCAGTCCTGGGGTGATGCTGCGACTGACTTCAGTAGAAAGATGGAGCAGAGGAGGCAGAAGCTGTGGGCTCCCAGCACGGCTGCAGGCAGTGAGGGCCATCTGAAGGGAGCGTTGCTGCGACGGACCAATAGCAAGTGTCAAAGTGTAGGGCCGCCCCGTTTAATGATGTCCTTCAAAGGGGACTAGTATAAAGCTGAGTGTCCCTCTAAATAATCCAAGTAATGGAGGTGGGGGAGAAAGAGAGAAAGAAAGATAGGAAGGAGGGGACAAAAAGAAAACAAAGTACAAAGAAGGAAACATCTAGGAAGGAGGCAAAGAACAGAAGAGAAGGACAGAAGGAAGGAAGGGGGAAGAGATAACTGAAATGTTTTAATCTTCTTGAGCAATTAAAGGCAGTGATCACTTTAATTTTTTGTCGTGTAAAAGTTTTCCTTCTTTTCATCTTTAACTTGGTAGCCATTTTTTTTTTCATGGAAACATCTATTCATTAATGGGATACAGTTTAGAGAATGCTGGTGCAGACATGCAGCAAACAGGTGTGGTAGAAAGAGAATGTAAAACCATGGCGAGAATACTTAGATCTACAGTGATCCTTGCCAGTTATTTCAATCCTAAAATGAGAACAAATTTGTACCCACATAGTGTCCACATTTTGGGGAACTTGTGTATTACGCACACTCCCTCGTGTTCTTCTTACATTGTCCCGTCGTTACTCTTCACCTCTACATAAACTTCACTGGAGCCGTGTTTAGTAAAAAATTGTGTACACGGTTCATTTACTAAGCACAGACGTGTACTTTTCGGTAATTAAGGAAAAAGGTCTTTTGAGAAAAAGTGTCAGTGAAAATTAAAGCTGACTGAGGGGTTGACAATGGCAGGTGTTCTGTGGGGATTAAATGATTTGCTGCTTCTAGGTAATTTCACACAGCCTATATGTGTGTATAGACAGAGCAGAAATATCTATCCAAGCAACCCTTAAGTGCTCCCAATAAAGTTATTTGCTGAATTGCCTTGGGGTGTCTCATGCTTTAATGAGATTTGGGCCAGGAAGGTCAGAGTATGTTAGTCCTCAAATTCACCCAGACCATGTGGAATGAGGTACATAACCTTCCTTTGACTTTTTCTGCCTGTATGAACAGTGTTGTTTATGCTCAGTTTCTTACAGTGCCCTTCAGTTTCTGAGAATTAATGAGATGTAGCAACTGCTCCTTAAATCTTGCATTTTCCGTAGGCTTTGTTAACTCCCTTCTATTAGGACCTTTCCCCTGTGCTAAACTCTAATGAAGAATACCGTAAAAAAAAATAAATAAAATAAAGCTTCATATGAAAACCAGGAAAAAGATGGTAGATTATGCTCTGATAATAAAGTGCCGACATGAAGATGGTGTGTGTGTCGGGAGGGGAGGGGAACCAACTCCAAGAGGACAGGACGTGCTAACGCCCCGTGTCTCCCTTTGCTGATGCTCTGCAGGTGTATCAGCAGCAGCCCTGACTGACCTTCAAACACGTGACTTTGACCAAACTAAAAGGCAAAGAGGGTATTAAGAGAAGCGCTTCTTTGGATTATGAAATTTAACTTTACCAGCATTGGAGCTTGTCACTTACTTTAATAAATTACTTACAAAGTAGTGAAGAGAGCCCCTTCACCCCAGCCTTGAAGAAATGCAGTTTTGTTTTGTCTAGCTGTATTTGCTTAACCTATTGATGTAAAGTTACTTCAATGTACCCATCTTTTTTTGCCCACAGTGTCTTTTAATGAACAGGCTCTCTAAGACAAGATGAAGAGAAACAGTCGCACAAGAAATCATTCCATGTCCAGTTCGTGTGGTTCCACATCTCAGCCGTGGAACTGCTGTTTTAATCCATTGCCTCATCTCTCCTTCCACTTTCAAATACCTTTTTTTTTTTTTTAATGATAATCAAGCCACTTTCTGTGTACCCAGGGGCTGTTTGCTTGATTGCTATCAGAAAAGAAAAGGGTTACCTATGGGAGATCCATAAAAACCAAGAGTGAAGAAGAACAATGAGAAATATTGAGGGGGCAGGGGAGTCCTATGAAAGGGGCAGATGTTCAGTTTGCTTCTGGGGTGGGCCGATTTTTGACACCAACAGAACTTTCTTGAGTCCCTTACAAAGGACTAAAGCATCTACTGCAGTCCGAAGTCCCCTGAGGGCATCCTTTCAGCACCCTGTGCACCTTCTCCCCAACCTCTGTTCCCTCTCTCCCGACATGCCTTGCCTTCCCCTCTCTTCTCGGCTTATACAAATCTGCCCATGTTTAGTGTAGACCCACTGGGAAGCATTTTCGGACCATCCCATCTGGAAGAGAAAACTCCCTCTGAATTTATATAATGCTTGGCTGTCAGTCTCAATGAGAAAGATAATGTGCAGGAAAAAAATCCCAGATCAGGTAGCCATACACTTCATCATTTGCTTCATCATCATCATCATATATTACTTCTTGAATATATTTACACACTCTAGTAACTCTCTCTATCCTCGTCCTTAAAGTAGAGTAAGTCTACACCCTCAAAAAGGATAAAAATGATGTCATGTCCCTGAAATGTTTTGTATGTGGTAACTGATTATACTTGTAAGGTATTTGTTTTATTTCCCCCAAACTCAGCTCCAAGGATTCACACCCTGGTAACCCTAACATGCTTTCAAGTGCGCTTGACTCATTGCCCCAATCCAATTAAAATCATTTACTTTTGGGGGGAAGTTACAACTCAGTGGTAGGGTGAGTGCTTACCACACACGAGGTCCTGCGTTCAATCCCCAGTGCCTCCATTAAATAAATAAATAAATGCATAAATAAGTAAACCAAATTACTCTGCAAAAAACAGTACATTTACTTTTTCTGATAGAGACAGTAGTGTTTATCAGAGAAAATATCAAATATAAACCAAGTATAAAAATGAAAAAAAGATAAATGTCATAACCGGAGAATAACCAGTAAACCAAGAAACAACTACTCACATTTTTTTTACATGAATGTCATATATGCCACAATTCTTAGATATGTACATATATGTGTGTATTGTTGCACAAGCTTTGTTCACTTACGGACACATCCTATGAGTATTCTGTTCTCAGCTCTATTTTTGCTTCCTAAGGTGCAGCCCTAGTATTTTGACACCTGTCGAGTCTGGATGAGCACATAGCACTTTGCCTGGGGTCTTAAAATGTTCCATAAGTGGGCTTTATTCTCGGAACGACTTCAGGCACCTTATGATCGTTTAAACGCAAAACTCTTTCAAACAGAACTTCCGAGTTTACTGAGACCTCTGTGTTTTTGTCGCTGAACTGGAGCCCCTGCGGGTAACGCTGACTCTCCCTGTTCCTCTCTCTGTAGTTTGTCGCTCAGCCCAACTGTCAACAGCTGCTGGCATCCCGCTGGTACGACGAATTCCCCGGCTGGAGGAGAAGACACTGGGCCGTGAAGATGGTGACGTGTTTCATAATAGGACTTCTTTTTCCTGTCTTCTCTGTGTGCTACCTTATAGCTCCCAAAAGCCCCCTTGGACTGTTCATCAGAAAGCCATTTATCAAGTTCATCTGCCACACCGCCTCCTATTTGACTTTTCTGTTCCTGCTGCTGCTTGCCTCTCAGCACATCGACAGGTCAGACTTGAACAGGCAAGGTCCACCACCAACCATCGTGGAGTGGATGATATTACCGTGGGTCCTGGGTAAATGTGATACTATAGAAAATATAATAAACACGTGTTGCTGCCATGGAATTGTGTTGCTCAGAAAAGAATAACCACTAACGTTTGGGACATAGGAATACCTAAAACAGGGTCTGACCGTTATAGCTTCAAGACCTAATCCTCAAAGCTAAATAAATCCTTTCCAAGCTGTGGTAGACCTGCCCCCAGATGCGGCCTATGAAACGTAACCTTAGATTTGAATGACTCTGGGTCCCGTGAATGATTATCTGTTAGGTGTTTTTTGTTTGTATGTTTGTTTGTTTTGTACGTTTCTCTTCAAGACCTTTCAACATGTCTCATTAGCCATGTGTAATAATTAGTCTAATTTTTTTTTGATAGATAGACCCTCTAAAAGACAAGCACAAATCACTCTGCAAAATGGGTGATTCCATGCATAAAGTAACCGTAACCATTTTTTTAACTTAATCCATTTAAGTTTATCTTTGAAACTAGATATGAAATCAAAATAATAGGAAGTTAAACAGTAGGACATCCTCCAATCGCTCCATGTTCTTTTCATAGCAAGAAAATTGTTTTGGATCTGCAGCAAATCATGGTAAGGTAGAAAACCTCAAGGCAGCTGCTTAAACCCTTGGTCTCCTCTCCTTTTGTTATTGTAGCCAGAGTTAAAATTTACATTTGAATTATTCTCTCTTCTATCCTTCCGCGGTTTGCTGAGAAATCACGTTTTCTCAATTTAGCCCATCATTTTAAACCTCTCTGGTACCATGTCCACCTCATCACTTACTAATTAGGAAACATGTGCCAGATTTCCTGATTCACAGAAGATCAGTTTGGGTTAACGGTCAGAACAGCCGGAGAGATGATACAACGAGGAAAAGGCAGAAGAAAAGGGCAGTATCTGAATCTGAGATAGAGACACTTTTTAAAGATGATAAATTCTGTAAGTACTGACCGTAAGAAAAGTTCATAGGAACAAGACTTGATATTTTATAAATAGTTCTTAAAAAATAAAAATTTTCTCAAGTGAACTTTGAATTAGAGTGCACACTCACTAGTCTGAAGCGCACAAAGCGTGATCCTGCTTAACAGAGAAGGGAGGCAGGGACAATCCGTAAATGGCTTTTTTGAATAAAATAAGCATGACCTAGCAATTGATATTAAACATAAAAATCCCCTGCCTGTTCCCATTTAGAGTGAATATCTCACATGAGGAATGTTCTTCATTGAGTTTTCTTCATAGACGATTTCTTACGAACAATTCTGAAGGAGGCATTTTAAGGCTGAATTTCCCATCATGGATAACTTACATTGAAAGTCTACAAATCCTGGTGTCCCAAATGAAATACAGACTATTTCATTTTGGAAAATGCTATAAATATAATACAGCATAAACAAATATAGCATTTTTGGTCTTTTCTTTATGTAGTCAATGAAAATATGCAGCGTACTTTCTATGTAGTAAGGTCAGTGCAAGGCAATAGTAAAATAGAAGTTTCTTTTAAATGAGAGAAAAAAAAAGAAAATATCCCTTGCCTTTGTGAAGGTTAAATTTTATTAGAAGAAATGGGTAATAAACAATGAGATACGTGATTTGATATCAGAAAATGGTAAATAATGTTAAAAATAGAAGCTCCAAACCTTGAATAATTCATACAAGTACAACAGTCATTGGCTGCCTCCCACATGCAGAACTTGTAACAGAATCTTCCGTGAAAGTTGGCTAGAAGAAATCTTATCTAAATCACCGCTGAATGGTTAAATAAGGTATAAATTTAATTGTGAGAATTATAATTCCAGCCAAAAGAAATATCTGCTAAAGGCAACCTTTTCCGTAGCTATCCTGACTTCAGTGAGTTAATTTATCTGGGAACGTTTTAGAATAAAAAAAATACATATGAATGATCATCAGGCTTAAATAACAGAGAGTGAGGAAAAGAATGTTTCTATGTCAAGTAGATCTGTCAAAACAGTTATATTATCCATCAAGCCTGGCGGATTCTGAATGCTTCATGTCTAAGACGAGTTCTAAGTCCTTTGCTAGAGCCATGAGTATAAAGGGTATTCTGTATATTATTTGGCTATAGCAGAAAAAGCCCTGGGTTTGAACCCATGCCCAAGTTCTGCAGCTGCCAGACTGTTAAATTATGAGTGGTCACAATCTCTCAGGATTTTCTGTTTTCATCAATAAAATGAAAGAGTCAGTGATGACTTCTTAAGTCCCACTGGGTCCCGTTATCCTGTACTGGGGACCTCGTGTTAATAGCACAGAGAAAACTGGTCTTTGTGTTGGAGGGAAAGGGGATGGGCGAAGAGAGGAGGGCTGAAGACAACAGGGTGGGAATCCTTTAACCTTTTACCAAAAGTGTGATAGACTCGAAAAGGCAAGGGCTGATTTGATGACTCTGCTAATGAACCTTCTCCATCGCCTCGCTTGGTCCTGCTGTCTGTTACAGTAAATGACCATGCACTTTATGGTCCCTTCACAGACCATCTAGATTTAGGATAACAAGATGGACGACTTATAGAGAAGGGTGTAGCTTGTGTTTCCCACATCATGTTAATTTTCCCAAAGAAAGACTGACGCTCTAACCATGGTTTTTTCTCAAGTGTTCTTGAACCAACCTAGATTTTCAACCCATGTCGCCTCTGTGAGGTACTTGGTTTGTAAAGAAATACTTTTTTTCATTTTACTAAATTTCCTTTCCTTCCGTTTTCAGATGTTTCCCAGACCTCTGATACTATGATTTAAGAGAAATGATTACTTTGCTACCTCTCCTTTTGTTTATCCTGACAAGACTTTCGCTTTATCTGTTTGATATATTTATGTCATTCATTTTCACTTTTTCTGAAGAGACAAGTTTTCTAACTTTAAAGCTAATCTTCTCAGATCAGTCCCTTTCTCTGAGGAAGTATGGTTTTGCTTGTGAATTTCTACTTTGTATACTTTGCTGTGTTTCAACAATAAGAACTTACTCAGCATTACAGATGGATCCAGATACTTTACAATTTAGTACAGTGGCAGAAGAATGTTTCTATGTCATTTTCATCATCTTTCCTGTTGAAGTTCAACATCTTTTTGACTTTATCAATTGAAGTCTATTGAATCTGGTATCTTTAGAAGAGAGTCTACAATGGTCCTTATATTCTTCCGCTGTGGTGTCATTGATAAATCGTAGCTCATCTCCTACAGGCCTTTTTGAATTGTCTTCCCTTCAGACTTTCTTGTATTGAAGGTTATCAGCCCTTCTTTTCTCCCATCAGACCACCTCAAGAGAGCTTCTTGCAAATGTTTGCTGTCGGTATTGACTTTAGCATATAAGCAAAGAAATTTAAAAGCCTCATTCAGGGATCAAGCCTAGGATTTTGGTCATCTTGAGATAAACAGTTTTTTGTTTGTTGGTTGGTTGGTTTTTAAATTAAAGTATAGTTAGTTACAATGTGTCGATTTCTGGTGTACAGCATGTCCCAGTCATGCTTATATATACATATATTCATTTCATATTTTTCATTAAAGGTTATTACAAGATATTGACTATAGTTTCTTGTGCTATACAGAAGAAATTTGTTTTTTCAGCTGTTTTTATATATAGTGGTTAACATTTGCAAATCTCAAACTCCCAAATTTATCCCTTTTGAACCCTTTTCCCCCTAACCATAAGATTGTTTACTATATCTGTGAGTCTGTTTCTGTTTTGTAGATGAGTTCATGGTGTCCTCTTTTTCCTTTTTTTTTTTTTTGGATTTCACATATGAGATATACAGTTTAAGGCAACAGAGAAAACTAATCACAGATAATTCAGTGAATTCTCTCATTAGGAAGGTAGATTCTAGACAGATAGGCACCAGTTTACCTCTCAGACTGTCAAATTACCCATTTGGAGTAGAGTAAAAAGTAAAATAATAGCTTTATCTAGCATGCATATGGGCCTGATAACAGAGCTATACTTTTTTTTTAATGGAGGTACTGGGGATTGACCCCAGGACCTCACACACGCTAAGCACACGGTCTACCACTGAATTATACCCTCCCCCCCAGCACTGAGCTATACCCACCCCTTACTTTTCAATTGTCTGGAAAGAGAATGTCCGTGGAAAGACAGAATGATGGATTAAAGGAATCCTGGAGCCAGATTAGAGACAAAATTACTTCTATTTTCTGTTGTGCCATGACCCTGAGGCTCTTTATTAGGGTTTGATTTTAACATATAATCCTAAGGATATGAAATGACTATAATATTCATGTGAGAAGTTTCTTTGTCCATAAAATTTACATGGAAACTAAATATGGCATGTTACATGTATAATGTGTTTTATGAGAATTCATCTAAATTGTAGTAGAAGATTTATCTCAAATAGATGTCATTTCTTTCTGGAGATACTATGGAGAAAAATGTGGGGGGAAATACTTTGGAATGCTAATTTTTAAGGCCTTCCCAAAACTAGTTTGGATTTTTCCACAGAATCCATTATAACTCAATTGTAAAAATCAAACTAATGTCATAGCTTATTCTCCTGCAAAAAAAAAAAAAAACAAGTGTGCTGTATACAAGATATCAAAATGTAGACTTATCACTTAGCAAAAAGAAATTATGACATTGATAACATTTTTCACAAAAGAAGGAGAATGTTGATGAAAGCTATCATAGAATTAAAGCAGGAAGTACTTTTTTCCCAATGAGGGAACAAAATGGCTGCCAAAGTGACTTGCTATTACGTGTGTGCTTAAGAATAGGCCACAATTACTTAGGATATAAATCTATGCTCACTGAGCATGATGAAGAGAAGGGTGAACCGAGGAAAAGATGTGTCAGAGGAAGAGATCTGAGCTCTGTGAAAAATAGCTTTTAGTGAATTTCTAGGCGTAAATTAGGGTTTGCTCATAATATCCAGATTATACATCTTGTGTATCATACATACTTATTTAACAATTTTTCTGTAACAAATTTGGCTTCTCATTTCCCTGATTTATTTTATATTTTTATCTTTCAAAGGGTAGATATGAACAAATCTGAGCA